AATATAAAATAATTATAAAATTTAACATTATTACTTGTGTATTCCTATTCATGGTTAGTATAAAGAATTAGGCTATAGATAAAGAATGTCCTTTATTCCCTGGACTATATTCCAGACTATTTTCTTCATGTCATTTTTATTTTTTGGCAATGAAAATATATTTCAGACAAACTTAAATTATATGAATGGGTTTTTTTAAATTGCCTCTACTATATTATATCCAACACACTGAATGGACTTTCCATGGGTTTCTTTTTACAAGGGCTCAGTGGATAGAGCGTCGGCCTGCAGACTGAAAGAATTAGGCTTTTACAAATTACTCTGTCATTGATATTACAACCCCCAAGTTATGTAAAATTTCAGGTTCTACTTTTTTGGAACCACCATCTCCCCATGAACTTTATTTTTCAATTACAGGATAATGTGTCTAACATGGGAACAAAATTTTGTTCTAACCCCTTGTAGAGTGTATATAAGGCAGACCTGGAGTGGTTGCGTGGCATCGGCTGGATGCCAGAAGGCTCAGTAGAAATGACCAGAGTGAAAGGTGCTCAAGACCTGATGAATGAAAGGCTCTATCGGACACGACCAGAAGCCTTGACATTCACTTGCATTACTGACACGCCAGAAGTTGTCCTGGCAAAAGCCAATTCTCTGCAAATTAGTGAGGTAAGAACCATCTTATCTCAAGCGTTCCTTTTGTGGGGCTTTGTTATCAAATGAGGCCAGCCACAGGGGACAGGCGGACTGTTCCTCTTCAAAGGCTGTAGTGATGGGAGCACCTCTAAGAGTCTCTTGACTAGTTCAGTGAGGACGCATGCGAAGCAGAACTCTGACACATGCCAAGGTGCCCATCCCCTGCCATACATTTGGAAGCACTAAAACTAGAAAACTGTTACTCCATTGTGCGCCAGGAAAACAAATATTTAAGTTCGATAAAATACTAAAACCTGTGGCACAATGCTGCATATTAAATGGTATAAGATTGTATTAGTCAGGGTTCTCCTGATAAGCAGAACCAGTAGGGTGTGTAGGAGAGAGAGATTGGTTGTAAGGAATTTACTCTGTTGTGGAGCTGGCAAGTCCAACATCTGCAGGGTGAGCGGCAGATTGGAGGCAGGAAGGAGCTGCAGTTCAAGCCCAAAGGCATCGACAGGCAGAGTGGCTTCTTGTTCAGGGGAAGTCAGACTTTTTTCTAAAAAGGCCTTTGACTGGACAAAGCCCACCTACAATACGGAGGGTAGTCTGCTTTACCCAAAGTCTGCTGAGATTTTAATGTCATCTTAAAAATACCTTCACAGAATGTCTGGAATAATGTTTGACCGAATGTCTGGGTACTGTGGCTTAGGCAAGTTGACACATAAAATTAACCATCACAACCATATATAAAAACATTTTTCCAGATTAAATGGTCATTTAGACTTTATGTTTCAGATCTCCATTCTCTATGAAATATTGAAATAAAATTTCCCTTCTCTCCACAGAAACTGTATCAAGAAGCCTGGAATAAAGACAAAACCAACATCAACATTCCTTCCGACACGCCAGTCATGCTGCAGGCCCAAATCAATGCCTTGCAAATCAGCAATGTAAGTGGCATGGATGTGAAATGTCAATGCCTTTATGAGTCAATATCTGTCCGCTATGGAGTGTGTTGTAATTGAAAAATTACCTATCTTAGAAATGTTTACAGCTTTTGATGCTCAGCACTTTCTCTCTAGGTACCACTCCCAATACAATATGAATGGAAATTCTCTTTTAAATGTTAGTTTAGATACGTGGTTGAGTCCCTGGACTGCAACGTGTAGGATACCTGCATCTTAGTGGTGTACTTCTTTCAACCTTGAAATCACTGTCCTATCTCTCTATATAAAAGCCTAAATGACCAAATGACCGGAATGACTGGTTGACCAGTTGCTATGGCGCGCACTGACCACCAGGGGGAAGACGCTCAATGCAGAAGTACCCCCTGGTGTTCAGTGCACTCCCACAGCCAACCTCCCACGGCCAGCCAACCTCCCCCCCATCTGGCAGGCCCTACCCAGCAGGCCCCATCCGTCAACCGGCAGACCCCGGCCAGCCCAGCCCTGATAAGCCCCAGTTGCTGGCCAGGCCTAGGGGCACTCCCACAGCCAACCTCCCATGGCCAGCCAAATTCCCCCCCATCCGGCAGGCCCTACCCAGCAGGCCCCATCTGGCAACCGCAGACCCCGGCCAGCCCAGCCCTGATAGGCCCCAGTCGCCGGCCAGGCCTAGGGGCCCCACCCGTGCACAGATTTCATGCACCAGGCCTCTAGTATCTAATGTTCACAGCTCAGTCTCATTTTATCTTATTTGAGAATAATGAAATCCCTAGTTAAATGCCTCTTAAAAGGTAATAGTCTCTATTATCTTTTTTTCTATTGTCTTTAGCAGTTTTTGATTGATCCAAAACTTTCTTGTTGGACATTTGAAGGCTATAAGAAAAGCCAAAAGACAACTTTTAAATATATGCAAAGTGCAGGATATGTATGATATATATGTCACGTCATTAGCAGAGACCTCTAAAAAGTCAAAGGACAACATTAGGAAGACAATCTAATCAGGTTTCATATGTTGCCTTGTGAAGAAGGTTCACCATTGATTCTTAGTTTCCATCCACTGTGTAATGAGATTTCTTCAGATGTGGGCCATATTGTGATGAATACAGATATTCAAATATTAGTTTGGATTCAGCTGTTTAGATTTAGGTGTTTAGCTGCTAGACTTAGATATTCACCTTTGAAAATTTTATCAGAAGTATCCGGCACTCCACAAAGTAAATAACCAATAACCAAGAGAAGAACTCAGCAGTGACAGGTTGTTTTTTTTTTAATATTTTTTTTATTGATTAAGATATTACATATGTGTCCCTGTCCCCACATCACCCTCCAGCAGTGACAGGTTTTTAAATATATACAAAGTGCAGGATATGTATGATATATATGTCACGTCATTAGCAGAGACCTCTAAAAAGTCAAAGGACAACATTAGGAAGACAATCTAATCAGGTTTCATATGTTGCCTTGTGAAGAAGGTTCACCATTGATTCTTAGTTTCCATCCACTGTGTAAAGAGATTTCTTCAGATGTGGGCCATATTGTGATGAATACAGATATTCAAATATTAGTTTGGGTTCAGCTGTTTAGATTTAGGTGTTTAGCTGCTAGACTTAGATATTCACCTTTGAAAATTTTATCAGAAGTATCCGGCACTCCACAAAGTAAATAACCCATAACCAAGAGAAGAACTCAGCAGTGACAGGCTTTGTTCTTATGTTGCCATCATTGACATTATGCCTTATGTCTCATATGACTACTTTGAGTATATTTACCTATTTTCAATTCTTGTAAGCAAACCTGTTTTTGCCCTCAATAGAAACTCTACCAGAAAGACTGGAACGAGGCCAAGCAGAAAGGCTATGACATAAGAGCAGATGCCATTGAAATCAAGCACGCCAAAGCCTCCAGGGAAATCGCCAGTGAGGTACAGCTCCTTGTTTCCTTGTGGTTCCCTCCTCCATGCAACAGACAGGCAGAGCATTTTTCAAGAATTTGGGTGTTTTTTAAAGATCTAGGCAAATGATTATGTTTTGTCTTACACTAAAGACTTTATTTTAAAAAACATTAAAATGGGACAAAAGAACACTAAGGTAAGCATAAATGAAGTACATGTGTAAATAACTTCTAAGTTGTTTCTAAATAGGAGAAAAATATCGTGAAGGGTCTGTGTGAAATTCTTGGGGAAAATTCAGGAACCGATACATTGTGATTTTACCCCCAAAATATTTCTGACGTTCTCCATAAATATAAATCACAGGTGAAAGTGTCAAACAAGAAGACTTAAGAATGAAATCACATTTTATAAACAAGATTTTATGCTGGAGGCTTATGTATAACGCTCTTAATAACCTTTTAAAGTTCATTTAACCGTACTTTTAAAACTTACTAAGGGTCAAAACGAGGCTTATGTATAACGCTCTTAATAACCTTTTGAAGTTCATTTAACGGTACTTTTAAAACTTACTAAGGGTCAAAACAAATATCCTATCAAGTTCGCTTCCCCCCCCCCCCGCAACCCCCAGTTTCAAATCTTTAAGCCATCTTTGTTCCCTTTCTCCCCAGTCTTCTCTATTTTTTATTTCATGTATCCAGCTGTTTCTATCTTCTTCCTCCTTTTTATCTCTAAAAACTACACCTGAGTACAGTGTCTGCTTTATTCCCGTTCTTTCTATCTCCCTTTTGTCCAAATTTGCCAATCAGATCTAAATATGGGAAAGAGAAGCTATCTAACTCTAGTCCTAAGACATTGAGGACAAGCGTGGACCACAAACTCTAATCCATAGGTCTTTTACTGTCATCTTCTGATTCAAACCAGCAATCTTGCTTTCCATTCCTGAAACATACATCTTGTCTGTCTCCTAAATCACACATGATTTTTTCCTACTTGAAGTACCTTCAGTACTCTTGGGGGACGATCTGACCTAATGTTTCCACCTGCCAAGCAATTTAGGGGACAATGGTTACCCTTACTGTGCCCCCTCCCCCCAGCATCTGAAATATCCGATAATAATAGTACTACCACATAGAGATGTTGTGAGGATTAAATGAATTTATAATTGCCACTGTCAACTATTTTTAACTTAAAAAATCAGCAATATCAGATGAATCAACCTAATACATTTGAAGTATTCATAATAGAGTCTGGCATAGAGTGATCGCTCAGTAAATGTTAGCTATTATTATTTTTTTATTACTCTTATTTACCATACAGTCCTTCCTGATTTACTCATGTCCTCTATAAAGCTATCTAAATAGCCCTTTCTAATTTCCTTAAAGTTAGGTGATGAACATAATGACTGCCAATGTCAAGCCACTTTACATTAAGAAAATATTCTGAAACATGTCATGAAAAGTTCTCGAATACATTATTTTCATATGTCTTTTTATCTGTTTTTTTTTCATCACTTTAGTACAAATACAAAGAAGGTTACCGTAAGCAACTGGGCCACCACGTGGGTTTCCGCAGCCTACAAGATGACCCCAAATTGGTATGGTCTATACATGCTGCCAAGATCCAGAGTGACAGGGAATATAGGAAAGCTTATGAGAAGTCTAAAGGAATTTACAACACACCCTTGGACATGATGTCCATTGTTCAAGCCAAGAAATGCCAGGTCCTGGTTAGCGACGTGGATTATCGCAATTATCTGCACCAGTGGACGTGTCTGCCAGATCAGAATGATGTGATCCAGGCCAAGAAAGCCTACGAACTGCAGAGCGATGTGCGTATATTATCACCAGACCCTTGGGGAGATGTGTGTCTGTGTGTGTGATCACAGGGTATTCCCTGGGGATGTAATTTAACTGGTAATCTTCATAGAAAGAACCTACCATAATCTGTACATTTCGTGATAAAGTTTTTCTGAATATTTTTTAATCTTATAGGGGATTCCTTCTTATGCAACAAGGCCTTATCCATCAAGATGAAAATCACTCTGCTGCCCTATGTAATTAGGTAGAAAATTTCAGTCCCAGTGGTTCTGACCCAGTACATTGGTGATACATTATCAGATACCTAACTTTCAGAAACAGGTTAAGCATAAGAAAGTTTTGCATTTCAAGTTTATCTGGTGCATATAGAAAATATATATTTATATTCTATTTTTGTATATAGAGGAAAATGTTTATAGATATGTATTTTTTTCTCATTATACATGCATCTAAGGATTTTTCCCCCCTAAATTCCTGCAGATGATACATCTGTAGGAATTCCCAGTGGTACATAAAAGGCAGATTCCAAGTGGTGAGCACAAAAGCTCAACTCTGCATTTCATGCCATTGCAGTCTGTCATTTCCCAAATGCCACTTGTCAGCCCTCCTCCAGTCCTGGAGGATAGATCCTGTGAGCTTCTCCCAGAGAACTGTGCCAGAGACATTATACCCAAATGTTATCATTTAATGCTGATCCTTAAATTTTGTGGGCTTGGCCACCCAACTGGTTTAAATAGAGATCTTGTGTGTCGTTTGTTGGCATTGTGCTCCTCTACAAATTTGACTCTTCTGCTCTCTGTGGTCCTCTCCTTCATGTAGAACGTGTACAAATCAGACCTGGAATGGTTGAAGGGTATCGGATGGTTGCCAGAGGGTTCTGTGGAAGTGGTGAGAGTGAAGAATGCCCAAGATCTCCTCAATGAAAAGCTGTATCGTACAAAGCCTGAGACCCTCAAATTCACCTGCATTGCTGATACACCTGAAGTCATTCTGGCAAAGACCAATGCTCTACAGATCAGCGAGGTAAGCTGTGAACTTTAAACTGCTAATACCCATCAGAATCCTGAAGATACATGTATCCAGGTAGAATTTTATATAGTCGGTCAATGAACAGTATCCCCATTTCATTTGCTTCGATAACTCTTTGCTCACTATAAGTGTAGTGGGTATCTTCATGTTTCACAGACTCTGATGTATACTTTGAACGCATTTTAAGACCTTTCTTATAATACTGGTCAACCAGTTAATACCATGACCAGAAATTGACATCTTTTTTTGTATTCAATCATAAAATAAGTTGAAAAGTCCAGGGGTAGCAATGTTAGACATTATTAAAGTTATTTTAGTTAAGAGAGCCAGGACTTTACTAGCATTGTGGAATATCATAGTTACCTACAATGCAGGTTTACTGCCTCATAATTACATGTGAATAAATGCAAAAGGATTATTTTACTACCAGTTTCTGACTTCATTTTACATTTATATTATATTATGCATGAATGTATTCCTCTTGTTGAAGTCACTATTGGCACTTTCTAAACAAAACAAAAT